GATGGTTTGGTCTAAAGAATAAACCTACACGTACAAGGGCTTCTCACAGGAATTTCACAGAACACTCACTAGGAAAGTAGGTCCCATGCCGGACCCCATGTAATAAAAAATTCCAAAGACAATGCTGACCCTGTTTACTGTGAGAAGCCTGTAAGGGTTCTGTAAAATGAAGACCTGAAGGTGTAGCAAGCTTCTTGGTCTAACACTATCGTTTGCTTGCCCCTGTGCAAAAATTATTAAAGCTTGGTTGTCTATTTTGACACGTCTATTCATGATTAATTTGTTCTCAATTTAAAACAATTGATATTGAAATATAGAAAGAAAGTCGAAATTAAAATCTTATACATTGTAGCGTTTCTAAATGTTTAATGCATGGATGCAGGATCATGAGCGTGCCTTCTTCGACTCGGCGGATTGGGCTCTATGCAAGGTATTAATCCGATGCCATTTTAGCATTTTATTATGAAAATAATTAATAAAACTACATATCTCTACATAAGCAATAGAGATACCCTCATAAGCCTTGCAAAATTATTTCTTTATTTTTTAAGTAATACATATTTTACCAACCCAATGGAAATAAAATAATAGAAATAAAGGACTTCATAAGTTTTTATTATTAAAAAAAAAACACTTTGCTTAAATTATCAGCAAGGTGCAGGAGTTGATCAACAATCAATGGTGGCTATAGAGACATTACAACCAAAATTACAGGTAAAATATTTTATTTTTTATTTTTTTTATTAAGTTAATAAATTTAATAACTAATATTATATACTAATAGTATTAATATTCCTTTTTTATATATATTTAGACATGAAATATTTGTTCAATTGGTAAAATTCTCAAACTTGAAATATAATTATTGTGCAGAAAACGCCCCATCAGCAACTACCACCTCGGAAGCCCGCTTGTGCAGACAACTATGGCAGCTCCTAAGTGTACTAATGTGTTTTGTTTAAGATAATATTATGATTTGTAATTAATCAAGAGATTTAAGAGTTAGACCCTCGACTCGGCTGAGTTACTCTATAGACTTATTTTTAAAAACATTATCCATCCCAACCCTTCAAGCTAAATAATACAACAAATTATCCTTTAAAAAAAAAAATCTTTAAATTCTTAATTTATGCAATTAGAATTTCACTATTTTTCTACGACAAATAAAATGTAAATAAATATTATTAGTTTTTAAATTGAAGTGAAGAAATTATTCACTTTTTAAGTACCATAAGTTACTTTTTATGAAATAATTAACAAATTCATTTACAATTAGTTCATCTCCAACTCTCACACCAAAACACCATATTTCACCATTTTGCGTAAAAAATTCACCAATACCATAATTTGCACCATTTTAGTGGTTAATATCCTTTATACATTTCTCTTCCATTTTGTACCAAATTTTTGTTAAGGATGTTCGTGTTCATTTTTTGTCAGACATCAAATTTTAATTCTTCATTTTTAATTTTTTATGTGCATTGTAATAAATTTTAATTATGTAATTAATAATAATTAAGGAACGAATTAAAAGAAAAGTATTAAAAACATTTTAAAATTTAACAATAACAATTATTTAAAATTAAAATGAAAATCATCCATTTGAAGAAATTTTTGCTCATCCTAGACAAGTCAAGGATAAAGATACTCACATTATGCTTTGAAATGCATGAATTGATCATTTTGGGAATAAATATACAAATTTCGAGAATTAAATGGCAACACTAATTCGATTTTATAATATCATAATATCGAGATTCAAAATGTATTGAATTTTTTTTTTAATAGTATGATTTAATATTTTCTTAGTCGTGATATCCCGTTTGGCCCCCGTTAATTTACATTTCATTACATTCTATTTTTCTCTCTCCTATTTCCAGCCATACAATCTTCCATAAAATAATATTACGCGTAAATCGAAAATTTTTCCCTCTTTTTCAACCACTCATTTTTCAAAAAAATACTATTTCACCAATTTACATTACCAAGAAATGGGGGCCAAACAGGGGCTTATATTAATTGTACTACATTTTTTAAATTTTATTAATGAATTTGATGTTTTCGTTAGCCAGCCGTAATTATATATTTACTAATTTGTGTTGCAATAAAATAAATAAATAATTTTTGTTAAGAAATAAAAAATAAAGAAAATGATGAAATACTATTCATTTTAGTGTATTTGATTGGAGATAATTTTTAATTTGGTATAAAATTTAGTGTAAAATAGTGCAAAACTTATTGAAAATTTTGGTGTAGAATTGAGGGTGGTCTTACACCTAATAAAAACGTTATTCATTATCAAAATTTACTTCATAATTATAAGTAAATTTTTCAAGGGCAGGCAGACAAACATGAATACCAAGAAAACCCCCTGTTGTATAAACTAGCAGACTACAAACATCAAGTGGCAAAGGGCTCATGAGAGACTATGAGAAAGTTTTCATCTTTGGCATCTAGGGCTTCACCTGCAACTCCAAACCTTCAAATTCACAAACAGAAACAACCTCAAAATTCGAAACCCTCAAATTTCAGCTCTTCAAATAATCTTGGTCAAAAACCCAGTAATATCTACAAATTTGAAGCCACTTCTACAGGTAAGCCTCAATTCAAAGACTCGAACTTTAAATCAATTTCAGTTTCACGGACTCACATTTATAGTAATAAAGGCAAATTTGATGGAAAACCCGTTGATCATCAATACCTTGCTGAAGTTCTATCAAGAAATGATTGGTTTTTGCTGCTAAACCATGAGCTTGAGGACAAAAGGGCCAATTTGAATACTCGGATTATACTTAGTATTCTGCAAAATCAAGAAAACCCACTACACGTTTTGAGATTTTATATTTGGGTTTCGAATATATGCCCTCAATTCGCTAAGAATCATCTGATTCATGGCACTTTAGGCAATATCCTTTATAGGAAAGGCCCGGTTTTGTTGTCGGCTGAACTGATCAAGGACATTAAGAACTCTGGGTGTAAAGTTACTCAGGATTTGCTCTGTGTTCTGCTTGGGAGTTGGGGGAGGTTGGGTTTGGCAAAGCATTGTATCGAGGTTTTTGAGCAGATTTCTTATCTGGGCCTTATTCCTACTACTAGGTTGTATAATGCAGTGATCGATGCATTGGTGACATCCAATTCGCTTGACTTGGCTTACCTTAAGTTTCAGCAAATGGAGGTGGATGCTTGTATTCCGGATAGGTTTACGTATAATATCCTCATACATGGAGTCTGTAAGATTGGTGTGGTAGATGAGGCTCTTCGCTTAGTGAAACAAATGGAGGGGTTAAAATACTCACCCAATGTGTTCACGTATACTATCTTAATAGATGGCTATTGCAATGCCAAAAGAGTAGACGGGGCATTTGGGCTTCTTGATAGAATGAAGAAAACGAATGTCAAACCGAATGATGCAACATATAGATCACTCGTGAATGGGGTTTTTCGTTCTGTACCTGTTCTCGAAGCACTGGAATTGTTATCGAGATGGGTGGATATGGAGCCTAATTTGCCTAAAGTGGTTTATGATACTGTACTTTATTGCCTTTTTAATACTTCTTTGCCGAAAGATGCAGCTGTATTTTTAAAAAAGGCTGCAGAACGAGGTTATAATCCTGGTAGTTCAACATTTAACATTGCAATTACCTGTTTTATTAAGGGATTGGACCTTGATGAAACTTGTCAGATATTTGATTATTTTCTTAAGCAAGGTATGAAGGTGGATTTCAATGCTAGTCTTGCGCTTGTCGAGGCTCTGTACAAATCAGGAAGAGAAGTGGCAGGAAATAAATATTTAAGTCTAGTTCTCCAGGATGGACTTGTGGTAAATGTATTCTCATATAACATGGTGATTGATTGTCTCTGCAAGGCCAAAATGATGAACAGAGCATCAGAAATTTTCACAAGGATGTGCCAAAGAAATGTTCTACCCAATCTTGTTACTTATAATACCCTTATTGCGGGGCATTGCAAGGTTGGAAATGTTGTCAAGGCACGAGAGTTTCTGTTGATGCTCATAAGGCATGACTTTAAACCGGATATTTTCACTTTTAATTCAATAATCAATGGTCTCTGCCAAGTGAACCAGATTATTGATGCTTTTGATTGTTTCTCAGAAATGGTGGAGTGGGGAGTAACTCCTAATGCTATTACATATAATATTTTAATTCGCTCACTTTGCATTGCTGGGGATGTTTCTAAAGCGATGAAACTATTGAGAAAGATGCAAGATGATGGAATTCAGCCTGACATTTACTCCTTTAATGCTCTAATTCAAAGTTTTTGTAGAATGGATAAAGTTGAGAAGGCACAAAAGCTTCTTACAAGCATGTTGACACTGGATTTACATCCTGATAATTTTACTTACGTTGCTTTTATCAAAGCATTGTGTGGATCTGAAAGATATGATGAAGCTAAAGAGTTGTTTCTCTCAATTGAAGCAAATGGGTGCATCCCTGATGCTTATTTATGTAACTCATACATTGATGCCTTGATTAAGTCAGGCAGAGTTAAAGAAGCCCGAAGTATATGGTTGAAATACAAAAAGAAGGGAATAATGTTAAAACCCATTCCTGTTAAGTAGCGTGCTACTGTGGTGGACGATTATAAATCACACACAAGTTTGCTTTGAATGCAGATACAGATACTAAATACATGGCTGCAGTTTATGTTCCATACTCTTGAAATTGTAGGTTTGTAATTTTGCATCTTGACAAGTATTATTCCATCTTAAATTCTTGCTTGCATTTACCTGTGTGTTAGTCATTGATGCAATACTCTTAACTGTATCTAGTATTATTAGTTGTCTGTATATTTTAACATTTGATGTTTCTTTACAAGGTATTCAACATTTTAACTCAAAACTTGTCAACTATTACTAGATTTTCCCACTCTTGTTATGAAAGAAATGTTAGTTAAGGATATTAGTGGACACGAAGTTAATGGCTTACTGAATTATCAACAATGAGCATTATTTCATGGGGCTTGTCATGAATTCTTTATCAAATTAAAAGTTTGTGATAATTTTTCCTGATTCATATAATGATTAGTACGCCTTACAATGTTTTGTAGAATGATGAACTTGCAGTTCTGCTGTTTTCCAGATGCTTATCATTTATCTCATATATGTTCATAGTTTCATCCTCCATCACTAAAAGGCTTCTTATTTGTGGGATATCATGATGGAGTTGTTTCCTTCAATTAGGTCGTGAATTATATATTTATATCAAAAAAGCAGATGTGTTTTAATATATATTTGAAGCGAGACACTTAATAATGCTTTTGTTTAATCTAAAAAATATAATCTTGAAAATGCTTGTTTTCTTTATGAAGGAAATTAACTGATGCTGGGTTTGTGAGTTTATTTAGTTGAAGTCATTTCAAAGTAATTGGTTCTGTTTTTGACATTTATGCTGTATTTAACAGCTTTCTGGGCATCAGGAATGTCTCCAAAGCTGCTGTCCTTGTCTGGGTAATGATTTGGACAAAAGTTGTGAAGAGAAGGTCTCTTTTTATACTTGGTTGAAAAGGGCAGTCATTCTTAGAGAGACTCACTTGAACTTATGACAAAGAGAGCAGTCGGGAATTCTGCTCAGGGATCGAGATTCAAATCTAGCTTAGAAGGATTAATGCAGATGGTGGAGCAAACAGTTGTCCAGATGCAATACTGTCAGTCAGCATTAAGGAATACAATCATGGAGGATACATGCAAATAATGGCTTCAGTTTTCAATTGATTCGGTATAAAGTTTGTGTGTCATCTTTGGGGTTTAGATTTCCTACTGTGACGCCATTCTGGGGAAGATTTGTGCAATGATAGTTAAATTTCTTTCTAACCTTGATAACATTTAGACGAGGAAATTGAGTTAATCGTTTCTGATGTAATTTACCTGTTATAGGATATGTAAACTAGTGTTGGACAGGAAGATTTTGAATAGATTGGACAAGATGCTTACTACACTAAATAAATTGTTCTTTCAATTTTCTTCAGAACTTCGACCCCCTGATATTGAATCATGGTTAAATTTTTCAGAATATGAAGTGTTTTTCACAATGTCTGGTGCTCAGACTGGAAGAAATTGGAAATAATTCGGTGCTAAAGTAAAAGCTTAAGAGCCCCTTTTTTCTACTGTTTCTTTCTTGAATATTAGTGTTTGCACAGATCGTGGTATTTACAATTACAGGTCGGTTGTATTTGGTGTTTGAATTTTGGAAAGGGGTGTGAACCACAGGTACCATCATGCTTGTCTAGTATGCAGTATTGGACAAGGCAATAGGTGCTAAAATCCTGACAATGCTCGTTTTCTGATTAACATGCCTCTCGTTGTTATCTATAAGAAGTTGCTTGTTGATGAGAAATGAGGCTAGCAAAATATTATTTATTCTGGAAGGTTTGTGAGGATAGGTTTGATTTCTAGCTCTCCATACACAAAAGTCTGCATGAGTTGGTAAGATTTGTCCAACCTTCTTTCTTATAGTCACCTCTATTTTTATCCAATTTTAACCAAAATTTACCTATAGACTATGTTGATTAGACTATCTTCTTCTATAAGATTGTTAATCATTTGAACAATGTATCATTCTAATTTATTGGCATTAGCTCTACTTTTGAGAATGTTGCTGATTCTAGAAAATTACTAGCCATCTGTTAAAGGGGACTTCTATATTTGTATATATAGATGTAATTATGCATACAGCCTAAATCTGTCCCTTCTGTCTGTTTAATCTGAGTTTAATGGCATTCTTAGTAACCTCGAAGTGTTGGTTTTTGGCTACAGTTGTGGTATACAGCTTTGTTTTGTCGTTGAAATTAGGTACGGATTTGAGTACTATCAAGTGCTATTCAATCCTCCCTACTATTCAATTATGTTATTAATTGTTTTTCAGGCAGAAGTTTTTTATTCATTGGTGTTGATGTTTTTATTGCTACCTTTGACAGGTAAAGCATACGAAGATCATCCTCATTTAGGTGCTGCAGGCGTAATTGCAAAGGAATTCTTGCCTAAAGCAGAAGATGAAGGAGAAACTGATCAGTATTTCCCGCAAGCCGGGATAATAAACACCAATCCTGCTAATATTGTTGACAAAGCCCTCAAATGTTTCCACGATAAGAATGTAAGTAATAGTCGCCTCCACCCTCACCACCCTCCCGAACAGCTTACGAGCTACAACTGACAACTTGTGCAGCCCACCAACAAAAACTAGATGTTGATTTGAGTATTCTTATCTCCATTTTAAGATTTTTCTTCTACTTAAGGATTTTTATTGTCCAATTTCTCAATATTTTGCGTTAATAGATGGGTCCGTAATGCCTATTTATTTGTTTTCACAAGCGAATCAATAGAAACTAGAAGGTTGTTCGTGAATTCCGTGTTCTTCTCGTTTTCATATATGCTCACAAACAGTTTGAGATGTCATTTAATATCATCTCTCTCTGATCTAAACATATGCAGATTTACAGTAGCTGCGATGAAGCTTATAGACTAGGCCAAAGTGGAGAACTCAATGTTCCACCTGAATACACAGATCAGTACTGCAAAGGACCATGCCTAACTGAGACACACCATGTGCTAGACTGTTTGGACGGCATCGTGAAACACTTTATATTCTACAACAAGGCGGCGCTAAGTGCAGTGCGAGAAAGTATCAAGACAGGATGTAGTTATGGTCCTAAACGAGGTAATACTCTATAGAACATTGTTTTCTTCATTACATTATGGATAGGTGTAATAAGATGTTTTCTGCAGGTGACTTCAGTGTGGCTGGGCACCTCCAAGTCGAAGAGAATAGCGCACGTAGAGCCTCTAAATCTGTCATATACGGGCTTTTGCTAATGTTTATGGCGTGGGGCGCATTGTTTTAACGTTGCTTTGGTTGTCGTCTATGAGATCACATTATTATATGTATTCTTTTTCATACTTACGTTGCTATTGCATATAAGTAAATTTATAGATAAGTTAAAAATCGGGCTGCACATTTTATTTTTTGTGTTTTCAACTGTTTCTGCTAGTATGGTATTAAAAAAATGCAGTCAACTTAAAACAGTTCAACTGAAAACTTGACTATCAATTTTCTTAGGTACACCAATCTATTATTTGTTATGGTCCTTGTGGAATATTTTGCTGTCTCAACCATTATTTATTGCTATAAGTATTATGAATTTCCACTGATATTATGTTAGTTTTTCGATAGTTAGTTCTGCGTCTGAAAGTTAATAAAATTTACTTTCAAATTTACTTTTTTAACTTAAAATTTTGGAAAGTTAGATTAAGAGACTGTTTGGGAGTGATTTTGAGAATCAATTTTTTGACCGTTAGGAAAAAAGTGGGGTTCACCTGTAAGAGAAGAAGTCAAATATAACGGTTGGAATAGTGAAATAACGGTCAAAAAATCAATTTTTTGAAGGAAAAAATTGCTCCCAAATAGGCTATAATTGAAGTTAGTAAAAGCAACTTTTACCTTTTTTAAGCATACACATGACTGAAAAAACTAAGAACATAATGCCAATAATATCATATATTTCAGTTGAAAAATTTTGGCAAAATTATCTCGAATATATTCTCAAAAGAGTGACGAGAAAAAAAACCTTCAAAATTCAGAATGCTCTATTATTGAAATATACTACTTATGATTACAAAGACCATTTCAAGAATCACATTAGAGATGCCAAAATGACTCGCCCCCGACGGGGCGGGAACTCGTCCCGTGAAGAAGTAAATAGAAAAAAAATGTACACATTTTTAAAACACCAAAAAAATATTTGAAACGTCAAACAAAAATTAAATTTAATGCCATGGCAATGGAAGTTGTTACATACCCCACTTTTCAGCATGCACGCATATAGGGGGAAGCCGACATTCATGGACTGCAGTAGGGCTTGCGTTCAATGAAACCTGAAAATTAGACCTGTAAATCGTGTTCCAAACCACTCAGTGGGAGCCAAAATGAAGTTTAATGTGCTTATAAATTCACCGCACGAAATGGGCGTATGATTTTGTACAATATATAATTGAAGAACAGAAACATTGGAAATATATATATATACACTATCCTTTAACCTCTCATCCAATACAGGAGCATACATAAGCTCAAAATGTAGAAAATAAGAAATAAATAAATAAATAATAGAAAACAAACAGGGCAGGCGATGGCTTGCCCTTGTCTCGAATCAGTCCCATCGCCATCTCTAAATCACAAAAAATAATTAATGATTTGTATGGTGGTCGACAAAACTGAATAGTATAATAGATAAGATTTTAAATTCTTTTTCTCCTTCATATTGTGGATTGCCATATAATTCACCTAATCAAATAGAACATAAGAATTTACAAGATAAATAGAGGTATGCAATGGTGAAGGAATTTTTTTGTCGATAGCAATTACAATACCAAAATGTCGTCAACCACTTCATCTAATAATGAAGTAAGAATCCGATCCTCGATCACTTTTCCCAGTTCAAATGCTTCGATGTCAAAGTCGAGCCATCTTCCCTGTTTGCTACTCATGTCCTTATCGACAAGTTCATCTACCATAGAATCTTTCATGCAACTCCAACTCGAAATTTCATCATGCACTTCTTTGGCTAATCTATCCATTCTTGTGACGACTGAGAGACCGTTTGTCCATATTTTACATCCCCCACTTACATAATGTCTGCATCTCGAGTCCAAACATTCAGTCACACAATCAAACAAAGCCTTTCGGCTTATTTTTGCTTCAAGTCCCTGACCATTGAAACGCCATTTTCGACTCTCTAACTGATCGAAAAGATGAGGGTTTATGATCTCACAAGCCCTTCCCAACGCGTAATCCTTTAGCATTAACTCTACGTTGCATAGTATTTCCTTCACATACTCTAGTTCCCATCCTTTAGACTTCCCAGAATCAATGGCAAATGAGGTAGTAGTCACATGGTTGTTTGCTCGAGTTCCAGCAGAAGTCGAATAAACCGAGTTTGATAACTCAGCATCACCTTCAAGTAATTGTAACTTCTTCAAAGAATACATACCAAGCACTTCTTGATCTTGAACAGAAGAATACTGCTTGCTACCTGGATTTGATAATAAGCATCCAGTTATTCCAAGATTCGAACATTAGGAACACAAAAACTCCAAATGGAAAAAAGAAAAGATGGGGGTAAGAAGCAATTTTATGAGTAATTTATGTTTCAATGAGCTCAGAAGTTACTTTTCAGAAAGTTCCTTAATCATGTTAGGCAAAAGAAGCAATTAAGACAAACAAGTTTAAGAACATCCAAACAGCTCAAAATATTATTCTCTCACCTCCTGTACTACTTTCTGCAGTGTCTGTAGAATCGAAACTTTCAGTGACAGAAGGATGATCAAGAACTGAAACTGGACTTGGGAGCCGGCAATCCAGCAAAATCTTGGTTTCAATCCCGTCGCCACGTTCATTCATCAAAGAAAATCTCGGCCCACCTAGGCCAAGCACACCATCTGTGTGAGTCCCGTCTTTGGTCCTGTTGTCATATGAAACTGTTGAGGTTCTTAACGTATTCAGACCAGGCATTGGATCTTGAAAGATTGATGCAGAACTACCCATTGTCGCTACTTTGTGTTTGGGAAACTCTACTCCACAAGTCAATTCTTTGAACTTTTGCTCCAAGAGAGTGCTCAATGTGTCACCTTCATTCACATTATTTCTAGGGAAAGAAAACTTACTCATACCATCTGAGCTCAACAGCATCCGTTTAGTTCGATAATTCTCAGAAAAGTCATCACTTTGTTCCCGAGTTTCTCTGTTCCTCTCACAGCAAGCTCCTTTCATAGGAGTAGTGAATGTAAAAGAAACAACGTCAGTTCCATTGATTTTGGTATTTTGATCCCATGTACTTTGCCAATCCATTAAAGCATTGGACTGAATCAATGTCTGCTTTTTATGCATCAGTTCGTTATTGGCAGCCTGGTTTTTCTCATATTGATAATTCCCATCTACGGATCGTTTCTTATGAGAGACTCTTTCTGAACTAGAACATGATACTGCCCTTTTATCATCTCTTGTGTCTGAACTGGATCTCCTGGTACCGAACTTAGAGTTTCCCGAGGTTTTACTAGAGTTCCTTTGCCTTACTGAAGAGGAATCTCCACTGAGCGCTTTCCCATCATGTAAGTTGGAAGCAAAGGATTTTGAATGTAATTTTCCTCTGTCAGAATTTACACAGTTCTGTTTCTGATTGTTCTGTCTGAGCACACTCGAACCACTTTGTATTGATGGTTTCTTATGTGTATTCTGTTGGCTTTTGGACGGCTGGTTTATTTTGAAAACACCATGTTCTTTATGGACCAAACTTCTGCTGCTGCCTGAGTTTAAGCCTTCTCGTTTCTGAACATTGGCCTTTGCCTGTAGTGCAAGTGAAATGGATTTTCCTTTATTTTTAAAGCTAGTCGAACATTCTTCAGAATCTGTAAAGACACCTGCTGATGTTGTGTCCATAGATTGTGCCTTGAAATACTTGGCAAAGTTAGTTTCACCTGGATTTTGAGAAGCCTCAGACAACTTTGATGAACTCTGAGCAGATTGAACCTTCTCTTTCAAATTCTTTACTTGTAAAGGAACTGATGATGACCGGTAAGGCAATTTTACTTTTCTGTTGGCTTGAGGCCCGGGCTCAATAATTCTTGCAGCTGCTTCCATAATGTAAGCAGCATCTTTAGACGGGATAAAATTGGCACTTTTGATCGGAGATAAAAGTTTGTGATGGGTGACTGGAATGGATTTAGCCGACTTAGGAGGCAAAATTTCAGTTTGAAACTTCTCCATTGGTCTGTTTATTGGCTTCTGGTTTTGCATCATAAAATTCCTAACAGAAGCCAGCTCCTTGTGTCTGTTTGAATGCGCGACTTGACTAGCTTGAGAACATTCAAGATATTTCACACGGTAACCAGCATCACGGAGAGATTGAGAATCGAGAAATGGAGAAGAGTAGGGCTCGGAGAAATTGGATGTTGGCATGGAATCCAATCCCATAAGCCTTGCAACAACCCCGGGAACCTTGGTTCCACAAAAATCCTCATCTGTAACGGATGAAGCACGGCTATAATCACTACTACCTCTAATACTTGAGCCAGCTATCATTTCATCCTCGTCCAACTGGATATATACAAATGATTTATGAGTTTATATTGAAAACAATGGAAACAGAATAGACAAAATTGCTAATTACTACATCAAATCGTAATAACTCAATAAACGATGAAATAGATAATGAGTGTGTACTCACCACATGAAGCTGTGTCATTGGCGAACTTCTGTCACATATCTTTTTCTGTTTCGATCGCTCTATAAAAGGCAAAAGAAAACAATATTTAGTATTAATGAGCGAACACACAATCTTGTCATTTAAACCAATCCTATCACTAATTTCGGAATCATACCTGGAAAATCAGACTTGCTCGAAAACAGTTTCTTTCGAGATTTTGCATTCCAATCAAACATCTGGAAGAAGCCACTTCCACTTTTCAAACCTTGTTTCTCCATCCCCATAGCTAGATACAGACTTCGTCGTGACAATTCTATTTTCACAAACCGCAGAAATCACTGCAGAGACGAACAATGCTTCTACACCTAATATCAATTTGAAATTCAACGAGGCCATCTAAGTTTATATTTAACGAAATATAATAGCTTTAAATCAATGATTTTTTATCATCGGTTTAATTTAAAAATTCATTATCTCTAAACTAATGCACCAATTCAATCCACATTTCGATTAGATAACTGTTGATAGTGGTAGAGAGGATCGGATAGCACCCGGGAGTATGAAGGGAGGAAAACTAAATCCTTGTACTCCATTATAGTATCAAACATTGGTATCAAACAGGCACTGAGAGTTTCAAAATCGACTAGTTAATATTCAAATCAAGAAAAACACATAAATGTGTAAAACATCAAGGCAAACTTTTCGAATCTCTCTGTTATTTCAGTTCTTTATCAACAACCAAAAATCACACTAAATATTAAAATCAAGCTAATCCACACTCTAAATTATTCCGGGAACCAAATAAAACCGCCTAAATGGTCAGTGATTTACAGTAAATCCCTTCGAAATAGAAAGACAAACACAATTAAAATGATATAACTTTTCTTAACAAAGATCATTAAAAACCCAAGAAAATAAAAACTCCTTTTTTTAATTTCAAAAGAACTTACACGAACCTCTTCAAAACATGATCTTCAAAACTCTGTAACGAAAGCTATTACATTCAAGGTACATATAGAAAAATGACTGAATTTTAGAGAGAAGAGAGTGAGAATGGAAGGTTTCTTGGTGAAAGCTGCCTTGCAGAGTGATAAGTGGCCGCATGGTTGAAGAAATAAGTGAGTAGGCAAAGAAAAATAAAACTGGGTTTTAGAAATTTTCAACAAAGGGCAAATTAATTGGAAAGCTGTTTCTTGAATTAATTGGGAAAAAAGAAAAAGAAAAAGAAAAAATAGAGCGTATGATAATTGTCCATACAGAAAAGGTTAAAATGGTAGTAACGGCTATTTGGGGAGGATGAGAATTCAAATTCCAAATGTAGGGTGGGGTAAGATGGGCCCACGTGGGGATGTTGGGAATTGGTTGACCGTTTTGCTGTACAGGATTTGGATTTTGAATGTAAACTGTTGGGGAAAATTTCAATTGGGTGCTCAATTATGTGAAACATTGTGTGTTGGTCACCAATTTTCATTTTGTAATAATTGAGTCCTTGAGCTTATGATTTCGTAGCAAGTAGGACCTTTGAAGGATGATTTCTGTTTGAATAATGTTGTTCAGGCTATCGGTGCTTAGTAACCTTCTATGTGGTTTGAGATCATTATCACATCGTCCAATAACATTATAATACATTTTTATCAATTGAATAATGTAACAATGATCTCTCTTACCATTTATATCGATAGACGTGTGCTAAGTACCCGTAAGATTGAATACCATTACTCATTTGTGTATATCAAAAGAAGATAACTAGTAGAAGAAGATGGATCTTCCAAAATAACAAGAAGTTTATCCTGCATTTCTCTAACGTTTTTTACGCAGCTATTTCCTTGTCTTAAGGTGTGTAGAATCTCAATATTCAATAATAAAAGCAAGAAGCGGCAATCCTAAAGAAGAACTATGTTGGGATTTTATGTAATATCTGCATCTTTCAACCAAAATATTGCCTTTGTCAAATATATTTCAAGCATGCGTTTTCCAACCTTGTCCCTAATGAGTGATAGGCCCTAGTAAATGTCCCATAATTTTTCTATTAGGCTTAAATCCATTTTTCTCGATCATCTTTGAAAAGTCGTCCAATTCTTGCCGAACTTTAGTTTCCTTTGGAGCATCTATCTATATTGAGTTTGATGCTATTTGAGAAAGGCATAAAACAGATGATTAGCTTACTTTCTTTGGAGATTGAAGACGTACCTTCCATTGAGAAAGTATGTTGAGTGTCCTCAACCAACTTTCCTCTCTACCTACATGATTGTGAGGGTCGAGGGGATCGTCCTTCAAACTTTCTAAATTTCTATTTTCATCTACATAATGCAAGGAATAACTTACTCGGACAAATTTATTAATAATGAATTCCCAATTTTCTAGGAATTCAAAATCAACCCATCCGTGAGATTTCCTTAATAGCTATCATACTCGAAATATCCCCGAAAAATCAAACATCCTCCATATCTCCTTAACTTATTGAAGGAACGGGAGTACAAGACCACACAAGTTTTCCCCAACATTCAATTAATTGCAAAATTCAAAATTTGAAGCACAAAAACATAAAAATAATATTTTCTATTTCTTTATTCTCTATGTGCAAGCAGGATGAACTAATACTTGATTTTAGTTCCAAAAACTTAGGGGGTGTTCTCTTTGTGTTTCAATATTGTGTTTTGAGTTTTGAATTTATTTTGAATTTTGTGTTTTGAGTGTTTGTTTTGAAATTGTTGAAAATGCGTTCTTTTTGTTAGTTTCTCAAAACAAAAAAAATGAATTTTTTTTATTTTTGAAATTTTGAGAATCACCACAACATCACTTCAAAACATCCAAAAAAAATTAAAAATTATTTTTTATTTTTTTTTTTGAAATTTTGAGAATCATCACACCACCTCCTTTAAAAAAAAAAAAAAAAAAAAAAAAAAAAAAAAAAAAGGTTTTCCCCGGGTAAAAAAAAAAAAAAAAAAAAGAAGTGTTTCCCGCGTTTTCAATTTTTTCAAGTTTTACACTGAAAACGCCCAAAACAACAAAAAAGTCGTTTTGTGTTTTCTTCACAAATTTTTTTTCGTTTTCAAAAAGGGGAAAGATAACAAGTTTTCACCGTTTTGAAAAATCGAAAACAGAAAACGGCCCGAAAACGGTAAAGAGAACAGGGCCTAACTTCTTTTATTTTTAGTTTTGAGTATTATATTCATCCCTAATTAGTAACCACTTCTTAAGCCATATCTCATCTAAAACCTCGAAATCAAAAAATTCATCCAGGTTAAAAACAAGGGACAATACAATTAGAGTGTGTTTGATTGACATGAAAAATTTCACCTAAAAAAGAAAATATTTTCCATTTTTTGTGGAAAATAAAAACCACCTCTATCCAAGGAAAATATTTTCCTTAAAAACAAGGAAAATTAGGCATATTTTCAAAAGTTGGAAAATATTTTTCATGGAAAAAAATAGTAATCAAACACTCCAAGTGAAAATTTGGATGAAAAATTGATATTTTTCATGGAAAATAAATGTAATCAAACACACCCTTAAGGTAACTGCTTGAGTGAAGAATTTAATTAATGAAAATTATTGTTAGTGCATGTTTGATTAACTTTATTTGTCATGAAAAATGTTATTTTTCCACCCAAATTCCTATATTTGAATGTTTAATTATTTTTTTCATGAAAAATATTTTTCAACTTTGATTATGTGATCATATTTTCTTAAAAAACAAGGAAAATATTTTCTTTAGGGATCGGTGATTTTTATTTTTCAAGTAATTTACTCTCTTTCTCTCTATCATCTATTTCTTCTCTTTCATCTATCCATCAATAAAAAATAAACAAGTATAAACTAAATCAATTAAAACACATTTATTTAATAATTTTCATATAAATAAATTTTAGACAATTGAATTGTTTTGAATTTACTTTCTTTTCATGCAAAATCCATGCTCGAAATCAAACACTGCATTAGTTTCTTAATGTTTTTTGATTAAGTGAATATTAGTTTAACTATTAGAAACTTGAGTGACAATTATTGTAAGAAAATAATTCCACTGACTATTTTGTTTCTGATCGTACTAAATAATATTGTTGGTAACACGTTGACACTTAATGATGCTACGTAAAATTTAAAGTTCATATTTTTGACCAATTAATCATTAATGCAACTGCAAAATTTTGGTGCCAATTACCGTAAAAAATGTAACTTCTTAGGCCTCACGCTATCCTTGCCGGAATTGTATTTTTTCACTCTTCCAACCTCTCCATTCCGCTGAAGATATTTCTTTGTATGAGCCCATTTTTTTCAAGAAATCATTTTTTTAAGATAATTTCACACGTAAATTAAAAAAAAATTCTTAATTTTTAATCATACATTTTTCCAGAAAAATTACATATTTAATAAGGCCAGTTCAAATGTATGATTAGATGGTATGTGGTCTAATAAGGCCAGTTCAAATGTCTAGACAATGCGATCTGTGCATTGCTTTATAGATTCAAGCGAAATGCTTCGAACATTTTTATATTATTTTAAAGTACACTAGCAGTTAATAAATTAAAAATCTTGAAAAATAAAATAAAATCATGTCCATTTTTAGGTTTGCCTGCAATACAATCTAATTTTTCACATCTAGTGAGAGAGTGACTCGCAAGTAATTTTATGTGCTAATGAAGAGGAATAATCGAACTGAAAATTTTGGGTGATACGGAGGAATTATGGAGAAAATACAATTAAACTTGTTTTATTTTGGAGATAATACGTTTGAACTTTTTTTATTTTAGTTTTTAAATATTATATTAGTGCAAAATATAAAAGATGGTTTGTTTGATAATGATAGAGTTGGAACCAAGAGACATCTCAACATGAATCACTGTACATATTGTTAATTCTTGAATCGACCATGTTACATGTACAATTAGGGTTTACAATCTCGATTAATAACCATACATATAGGAAGAGACTCACAATGAATAAAAAATTGTTGGCCCCCTCTCATGAAGAGGCTGTCAATCGGGGTTGGATCGGGATTCCAACCCCGATTGTACAACTTGCAAAATTCTTCATGAATGTGACTTATTTGGACCAAGCATAGAATGATATTAGTATCCATGAAAGTGAAATTGCAAGCTTTTCAAGATCAACGTCAAATTGGATGTGTTCGGAAATAGCTATTGAAATGACTTTTGTGCACAAGCACATACATACATATCCAACTTGGTTAAATATACTTGCAATCAATCCATTATATTTTAAAAAATATATATTAAAAAAAAAAAAAACAGAACAAAAACAAGGCATGTTTGGTATGTCACTTGAGCACTTTTCAGAAGATAATAATTTTTGCTTTTTTTTTTTTTGGTGTGTGTGCGCACGTTCTTTGATCATATCCTCATTAATATTGTCCAGTTCACTTACCCATAGCTTTTCTCGGCTTATTTTCGTTGTTTCATTTCTTTCATTCTCTTTATACTCGTGGAAAGGGCTTAATTGATCCATTATTTAAGTGTTATCTTTTGTTTTTTTTTTTCATCTTTGTTTCGAGAAATCGATACCAATTCTTTCTTTTTCTCATGATAAAGAGAAAAATTTTAATCTGCAAAATATCTTGTAGACTCAATGCATTATATTTCAAAGTTTAATACACATATGACTATTTCAAAAAGATATTTGCTACACATATTTAGCTTATTTTCTTATTTTACAATCCGAAATAATTATTCCATCCAATCCCAGAACTCTGTAGTCGATTTTACAAAATGGGAAAGGAAAAACACACAAATCAAGCCCCAC